TGGCGGAGGTCATGTTGAGGCGTGGTGGACTGGCGCGGAGAGAGAGAGAGAGAGAGAGAGAGAGGCTGGAAAGGCGTGGGAGGACGCTTTGCGAGGTGTTCGGACGTGGCAGCGACGAACACCGACACGGCGAGAGCGGGTAGGTGCAAGGTCCGAGGGTGATGCAGATGACGACAGAGACTCCGGGGCTCGACGAGAGGCGTGACTCTTAGTTGCCTGGCCCGGAGGAGAAGTTGACAAGCATGTTAGAGCATCCGCAAAGCTCCAATGCGTGACGGCTCGAGTGCCAGTGACGATGCTTTGGGTGTGGAAGGAGAGGCAGAACAGGGAAAAGGAAGGGGGGGGGGTGGGTGGTGGAGTGGAGAGGAGTGGAAAGAGGGCGACAGAAGACGATGGATGATGCAGGGTGCGCGCGCGCGCAGAGAGAGAGGCGAGGGTGGAGAGGATGCTGGGGCCAGGCTACGGGCGGGAGCTGCAGGTGATGTAGGTCCGACGCCAGAACGACTTCGACAGCAGCGAGAACGGCTTCGATAGCAAATTCAGTGACGGACTATGTTGATGCTGGGTATACGCAGATGGAGGATTTTCGGAGGTGATATGGATGAAGCTGCTGATGCTACTGGCGTGCGTCTATCTGCCTGTTTCTGGCTCCAGAAGCCCAGGTAGGCAGCAGAGCTTCTTCTAGGTAGGTACCTTACCTGCTTGATTTCTACCCAAGACGCTCCTGCTCCTGTGCAGTGCTCAATATAGGTAGGTAGGTGCTGGGAGTTTTTTTTTTTTCCCTTCCCCCCTTCGGCCTGTTGGGCAGTTGGCGGCGGCCGGAGCTGGGCCAGGAAAAAAAAATCGGGGCTGCGTCACAAATTTTATCCTCTTGTCCCCCCCGCAAAACGATGAGCAGCACCGCAGGCGACCAACGCCAGGCCAGGCAGATGATGGATGGTAAGGTGAGGTGAGATTGGCCCGCCCCATCCCTGCACGGTCAATAATGAGCCGTCCATCCATCTATGCCTCTGCTTCGATTCGGTGAGCGCTGACCGGGTGGATGCGTCGGTGAGTGACATGCATCATCGGCTTCGTCGTTGCCTTTGTCTGAAATCTGAGACAAATTGGCAGAGAGGCTCAACTTGTCTGCGTTCCAGTCTGATGACGTCTGACCACTGGCAAAATGAACGACCAAGAGTACGCATCTTGTCTGACCAGTGCCATCTTGCATGGTGGCGACACGTAAGCAGGCAGCAACAGCAAGGAATGGACGGCAAGCCTGTTCTCCAGTAGATGGTATGCCATCCGAGTTACAATGCCACGATACTACGGGTCCGTAAATCTCATACCAACGCCAAACGCTGCGTAGATTGAACACAATTCGAGAAGAGAAGAGGAAAGCCGCAACTACCATCATGTTACACCAAAGCATTGGGAGTCAGTCCCCTTCAACAGGCCCACCATCGGGCCTTTCATCAGGCGAACACCAATCCTCAGCTTGCCAAAGCCAACAACGCCACGCATGCTCCCTGTATATCCGTTGCCGTCTGTCTCTTGACGAGCCGCTCTGCACACGTCTTGCCCTCTACTCGCCGTTACCGAGCACTCTCGCGAGCAGCACGTACAGGAACACGACGGCGCCCGCCACGAGTAGCTTGTTCCGATGCAGCCACCCCGTCCCAGCATCCCGCTGCTGCACGACGGCATCGACAACGGCGCGCCCCTGATGCGCGCTGTTGGCACCGCCGCCGCCGCCACCGCCCCCGTGAGCGCCAATGCCCAGCTGCGGCGGCCGACAGCTCGAGCCGCCCGCCGCCGCTGGCACGTGGCCCGTGCCATGTCGACCTTTTG